CGCACGCTGAAACACGCTAAGCTCGCTAAGCCCGTGCTTGCAACATGCTATCAGTCTTCCGGAGACATAAAATCAGCCCGCCCGAGCCTGAGTCTAGCAAATACATGTGAGCTATGAATATGAGTACTGAGTAGGAACCAGCAGACCTCAGTCAAATGTGACACCTGTTTCTCGTGTAGAAGCAGAGTGACGCCCGTTTGATTTACCTGTATGAAAATGAAACTATAACGGTGTATTCAATCATTCACACAAAGCATGCATCTCAGTCCACATATTGCGGCTCCTAATCTACGCTTGAAATGTACCACATTCGTGAACCTGCCCTAAATCCATCCTTCATCTAATTACAATGCATTACGCTCGAGAGGATGACATGACTACCTTTTTTTGTAAATGAGCGTGTTCGAATCTATCTAATGACAATGCATTACGTTCGGAAGGGTGTCCATACCTACCTAAGCGTGCTGGAAGAATGAGCTGTAGCCGGCGCGGCCTAAGCACAGGATCCGGCGTTCCGTCGCTCTACTTTTAGAGGGTACCGCCGACCGCGCCACGCGCGCGGTCGGCGGCACAGTATCGTACCAGGCGGCTACGGCTGGTGGCCGGCACAGTATCCTATCCTGCGGCTGCTGGCTGAACAGTAGACGCGTTTACATAGGGTTTGTTGCAAGCTTATATCTCCGTCCGTGATGTTGCACTTGCAAAAGATGCCAATGGTGCTTAACAATTTACAAAATGATCCCGGCGAAATATTTGAAGACCGGGAGCATCGAAATTATCGCCAAATAAACGAGCTAGAGCCTCGTCAAAAATGCTATGTAAACGCGACTAGTGAATGCGGCACACAAAGTGCGGGCTGGGCATGGGTTGTATAGTTTGCAACGTTTTTTGGTAGATATATGCTCTGAGATATGTCAGCAATAGATGCATCATACAACAAGCTGACTCGGTAGACAACGTGAACAGTGACGTCGAGTTTGGGAGAAATCAATCCAAATACCGTGTTCCAGAGGGCGATAACTGAGGGCTGCCTCCTGTGCCCTGCAGAGCTCCTTGGAGACAGGTGGGAGGGGGGAGCCAATCTCGGTTGGCTAGTCCCTGTGGACACGTCAATCGCACGCGGCCGATAGCTGTACGGTCGCACACTGAGCATCGACCGATAAACTATGCGACCGCACGCTGCCTCTCGGCCGATAACTATACAGTCACATAGACTATGGGCCGATATTCATACCGTACCTATCACTAGCTATACATCCACACATGATCAGTCGACACCTACGCGGCTACGCGACTATTGGCCAATTATTGTTTTGCGGCCGCACTCTGCCTGGTTATATGGTCACACCCGACTCTCCGTCTACCACCTCACTTCATTCTTCCATTTTTTATTTCATTTCCATTTATTTCTCCACTGTCCGATCCAATATCCACTGACCGCACTGATCAAAGCTCCGCTCCTCTCTCCTCTGGCATTTCCTTCCTCTGCCCGCCCGCTCCCCTCCGGCGATTGGACCGTCACCGGTGGCCTCTCTCCTCTACCTCGGCCCCTCCTCGGTCCTCAGCATCTGACAGCGTATCGATACTCCATTACGGCGAAATCCAGTCCAATTCGGACATATTCCAACAGACGTTCTTAATGCAATGCGACGCTGTTGGGATCGTCACGAACACGAATAGCTTCCTACGCTCTGAATAATCTCGCAGAAGCTAGAATCTCCATGATTCGATCCTCCTTGTTAGATATGATATTGATGAGAATAAGAGCCAAATATCTCGAGTTTTCCTTCGTCACCCACATTGGTCATGGTCAGAGGTCAGGCCAGAAGGGCTCAAAGGTCGGTGACCAGTGATGGGTGGCCAGTGCTCAATATTGTGGACTGTGCTCAGCGTTATCCGTCGGAACTCATAGCTCAGCGGTCTGTGGTGAGTAGTTGGTGGCTGACGTTCAGTGGCGAGTTGTTGATCGGAGTCGCCGGTCGGTGGTGGATGGAGTGCAGCGGTTGATGTGTGATGGTCAGTGCATCTCGTGATGAGTTGTTGGTCGGCGCCCAGAAGTCAGCGGTGAGTTGATGGTCGGCCGTCAGCGGTGAGTTGTTGGTCCAGGTCCGGCCGTCAGCGGTGAGTTGTTGGTCCGGGTCCGGCCGTCAGCGGTGAGTTGTTGGTCCAGGTCCGGCCGTCAGCGGTGAGTTGTTGGTCGGCCGTCAGCGGTGAGTTGCTGGTCCGGGCTCGGCCGTCAGCGGTGAGTTGTTGGTCGGCCGTCAGCGGTGAGTTGTTGGTCGGCCGTCAGCGGTGAGTTGTTGGTCCAGGTCTGGCCGTCAGCGGTGAGCTGTTGGTCCGGGCTCGGCCGTCAGCGGTGAGTTGTTGGTCCAGGTCCGGCCGTCAGCGGCGAGTTGTTGGTCCGGGCTCGGCCGTCAGCGGTGAGTTGTTGGTCCGGGCTCGGCCGTCAGCGGTGAGTGGAGCGCAGTTAGCGGCCGCTGTGTGGTGACCAGTCGGCCGGAACCGGCGCTATCAGCGGTGATTGCCGGTGGCCTTTCCCCAGAGAGGCACGGAGACGGCTCGTCCGAGACGGAGGAAAGGGGAGGGGCTAGCCCGGGGCGGGTGGGGCGGTGCCCCGCTCCGTCCAAACACCGGCGTGGGAGAGGCGCTGTTCCGCTCCGTCCAGGCCCTGCAGTACAGTTATGGACCGCTGAGCACCCCTCCCTGCTCTGTCTCTGCGGTGCCCGCCACTGTTCGGCACTGCTCTCGCTGCCCGCCGGTGACCGCGGAGTGGGGCGCAGATCGCCTCTGCGGCCAGGGTCGATAGGGAGCGACTGACTGTCGGTCGTCACGGGCCGGGAGGGGAGATTCTCCCCGAGAGCAGCCCGCCGAGCACCGATAGCGGCCCGCCTCTGTGCGCGATACAGCTTCGGTCAGTGGTGGAGGATGCTTCACCAGTGGCCGCCCAATTATCTGCTCAAACAATAGGCCGGCCCGGCTCGTATTACTGCAACCAACCGAAGTATCTGACGGTAAGGGCTTCCATCGCCTTGGGGCCACCGCTGCACTCTCTCTCTCTCTCTCTCTCTCTCTCTCTCTCTCTCTCTCTCTCTCTCTCTCTCTCTCTCTCTCTCTCTCTCTCTCTCTCTCTCTCTCTCTCTCTCTCTCTCTCTCTCTCTCTCTCTCTCTCTTTCTCTCTCTTTTTCTCTCTCTCTCTCTTTCTCCCTCTCTCTCTCTCTCTCCCTCTCTATCTCTCTGTATCTTCATCTCTTTCTCTCTCTCTTTCTTTCTCTTTCTCTCCATCTCTTTCTTTCTCTATCAATTTGTCCATCTCTCCCTGCTCACTATTCGTCATAGATGTCACTTTGCTAAGATATCGGGTCGTCAGCAGGCTGGAGGTCTGCTCCGGTGGCTATTCGGGGACGATATAGGGAAATTGTACCGCTGATCTGGGCCGGAGCTGCAGTGGTACGACGGTGGAGCGCCGATCAGTAGAGCGGGCCACTCGTCCGAACGGCTAACTGGCCATCCTGCAGGACGAGTGACCGACTAACGCTGTCGCCGCTGGTGGGGCCGGCGCCTCCTCGGCTGCCGCCTGAGATAGTCACACCGGGCGCGGAGCCCTGGAGCAGCAGAGGCCTGCGGGCGGCTTATCGCCCCCCCCCCCTCCTCCTCCCCCGCGACGAGCCAGTGCTGCCTGTCGGCACTGCCAGATTAGACACGTCTGGGAAATGCATGTGCGGTCCTTCCTCGCTACCATCGCAGAGACAGGCAAAGAGGAGAAAACGTGTGCAGGCGTGTATTCACAATCACAAGTCATCACATGTCCTGTGACCTGTGTCGAACCCAAATATCAACTGTAAATAACTTATGATTGGCCATCGATAGTGGGATTTGGCGCTTCATTCACAATATGCTCAACCATACCTAATAAGCAGCTATCTCTAGGTACTATAACTAGCTCCAAACGCTCCAGATGCTTCACACTTTGCAAGTCCTTTGGTCACTCATTCGCTCATTTCCATTATCCAGCACAAAAAAACTCTTGAGAACCAAGTACCTACAAATTGGTCGATTTCTTACAAAAATGTTGCTGGCAGTAAACGCTAGAAAAACAACCCAAGTCCTGAAAGGCAAATTAACAGACAGGTATCCTTAGCATGGAATAGTTATGTGACTAAAAGGGTTTCAAATACAAGAGCTTGCAAGGAACGTAGCCGCTGTATTTTTTTTTTTTTGGAATTATTATCATTACAACATGGTAGGATTATGCGTTAGGGCTAGGCCTGGCATTCATTCTCGCGCAGACACTTAGACGCTATGCGATTAGGAGCAGTTATTAGATGCAATGCTTCATACGAATAGCTTTCATAAGTGATGTGTCACAACAATCATTTTGCATTCACCACTCCATTTTGGCGTTACACACCCCCACTCGACACTGCACCACTCCATTTACCGTCATACATTTGTGACGTCACATGTAGTTGACGTCATATGTTTATGACATCACACAAAGGGAAAAGACCGGGCGTAGCAAACGGCGAGGCGGGGCCCGACTGACGTCACACCGTCTACACCTGTGACGTCATACATTAAAGCTGCACCACGGGCCTGGGTCACCGCCGCAGGCAATCGCTACCCTGCCCGGCACAATGGACCGCGGCAGGTCTACAAAGCGAAACTGAAATTGGCATTGCAAAGGACATCGATACATCCCCTACTTCCATTGGTTAAACACCAAACAGTCTACATCCCTTGGCAATATCGCCTTTAGCTGGATACTTCATATCGCAGATAATGATTATGAATAAAAGTTTGGATACCTACCTACTCGAAATCAGTGGAAAGGCCATTTTTATCGCCTGAGGGCAGGTAATAACAAAAATAATCGGGTCGACATGCACAATCTTCCCATGGACACACTCTTGCCCATAGCATTCGACTTACGAGGCACAAAATGCAACATAACGCAATGTCCATTTCCCAACATCCGTGAGAAGTCTGTATATGCAATTGGAACAGCTGTCATATACGACCGTTTATCTACAATGTACTTACACGTCACATACACGAACGCACAAAACCATACACACACTCACGTGAACAGTAAACACACGCGATTGTGCCGTTCCATCAAACATTGAATATCACCCACCGTACAATAACGCTATTTCTCCCTTCCATTATCTAGTAAAACAAGAGTTTTAATTACACCTTAACATACAAAATACATATCGTTGCCTTGGCTGCTTAAATTAGCGTGTTTATCAGTTGCAACTTTCAACACAAGTACAGCGTAGGTATTCACGTAACTCTTTGTCTCATGAGCAGTAGTAGGTAGGTATGCAGCATTGTCGTGTTGCAAGCTATTTTGTGCAGCATATTTGTTTATCGTACTCGTAGATGCTGCTCGTTGGCCTGCTCTATTTACAACTGTTGCTTGTAGTTTCACGCACACCGCTTTCGCCGACGCCCGAAACACACCTCGGATTAGCCCGGCCCTACCAATGCCAACACATTCACGCGCGCACCCGCAGCTTGGGAGTTTTTAGCGGCCTCCTGTTTGTACCCTGCGTGTTCGGGCGCCGGTTGGCTTTCGCTGGTCGGTCACAGGGCTCCTCCCACCCTAGCATCGGCCGGTCGCGGACTCTCATCCCAGCACCATCCTGCCGCGAGGCTCCTATCCCCGCGCCGGTCGGCCCGGGGCTCCTCCATCCCGGCGCCGGCCGGCCACTCCTGCCGGCCACTGATAACCTGGCACTCGGCCGGCGCCGCTGATGTATCACACATTGGATTGTCACCAGAGCTGGGGGCGGCGGTCCCACCTCGGCGGCGGACGCGGTCACCGTCGGCCAGCCGGTGAGGACAGCCGGCGCGACCCGGCGCGGCCCGTCCGCTGGCAGCAGGGCTCACACTGCAGCGGGCGGCCGCGGCGCCGGGCCGCGCTCCACCCGATCACTCTCAGGGTCTAGCTGTCACTGAAGTAGCTGTGCTTGAACAGGTAGTAGCACCAGTAGGCCACGTTGAAGGCCAGGAAGGTGATGGGGTAGGCGTAGAGGACAAACCGCTCCAGCCGGCTGGCCATGACGTCCCAGGCCACCTCGTGGCTACACTGCTGTGAACGGAGGGGGCACCGGGTCACCGGCGGGTCTGCTGCAACCAGTAGGGAGAGGGAGGGATAGAGGGAGCGCAGGAGGGAAAGAGTTAGTGACGAACACAATGAAAAAGAGCTATGTTGATGTCTCTTTATGAGTTCCGGATACCAGTTACCTACCACATGAAAGGTTACACTCGGAAACCGGATGAATAATTTTGAGTTTTAGCGCAGTAGCAGTATATTTTGGTGGCGGTAGAAAAGTCGGACCAGCTTCCCTTCTGTAACTTGCTGTACGGGGTTTCGCGGCAGCCCTGGTGGAAGCTGACGTACCTACTGCGCGGCCCCCCACCGCAGGTCTATCCATTCGGCACATTACACTTAATGGTGTGGGGAAGACACAGCGCCTGGAAACGTGGCCAGGAGGGCGTGAATGACGGATCAACCGGACGAAGGGAGTGAGGAGGATCCAACCGGACCCTTCGGGAGGAGACGAGGTGGCAGCGGCAAACACGACGTGGTAAAACCGAGCTGCTTCACATGTTCCCGTAAGAATAATATAAATGTTTCGGTGCGTTGGTGATCACTTCGTACGCACTCACATGGTGCGCCAACAAGCGATTGTGTGCATCCAACAATCAATCGCAGCGATAAGAAATGACATGTAGAAGAGTGCGTGGATACATGCGATGCAAGCTGCAGCGACCGGGGTCCAGAGTTGTTAGCTTCTCTGGTCATATCATTTTACAATATGGATGGTTTAGCAGTCACAGCGGCGTGAAGTTTTCGGTGAAAACGAAGCACACACACAACTTTGAGAAAAATGTATAAAATGTAGGTGCTAATGGTTTTCGAGTGCATATCTCACCGATCTATTCGCAATCCAAGCCAGCACAGCTCGCTGAGAAATTCAACCATGCCGTCATTTTTTAAATAGGTTTACATATATCCCCGGTCTTTGGGTGGCCTGCCTTTTGCCTATTCTATCAGGATTACATTTGAGTATGCTATAATCTATACACTATTGTCTACGCTAGTCTACTTTAAATTATTGCTTGCTTTCATACACTCTTCAATCAATTTTTCCCGTCCTGCTTTCACCAGCAAGACGCCTTTGGAGCGAAGGACGAGCGAGTATTTACAATAGCGAGCTCTGCACTTCCGCAGTGCAAAACGAGATTCCATCTGGGTTAGTTGTTTGACCCAGCAAACCCAGCCTTTACTTTATTCCTTGATGCAACGTCCTATTGATTTCAGATAGATCACATTCCATTACTAGCAAAACAATACCTCAGAAGCTCCCTGAAGTTGAATTTTCTCATACATCTCTAAGACAAATAAGTGCATGCCTCGTTGAACTAAAATGCATAGTTTGGGTCCGGGACGACTTTTCGCTCAATAAAGCCTGAGTGCAGTGGGGCGGCAGCTGTCGTTGGGCTGCTCCGCTGTTGTGGACAGACCCTGTCGGCGGTCCGCCTGCCATATACATATGATGCAGTCAGTCGGTCTGTCGGCGGTTTCGTCGGTCTGTCAGCGAGTGGGACGGGTCGCCGCGGCCGCCGTCCGCCCCCTTCTGCCTATCGCCGGCTCACAGACTGGCTGATTGGAGCGCGGACAGTGCCCGTCAGACGACACAGACAGACCATAGGCCCGCACAAATACGCCGAGATGGCGGCCAACTCGGTCACACTGCGACTGTATTTTGTCAAAGGAACTGATCAGCCTGATGGCCTGATTGCCAAGTTTCCTCAGAACAGGATTTAGAGAGCAATGCCGGCAAATGAGTTTCCACCCGATTGACATCAAAACCGATTCACGTTAGATGACTGGCTCGTACTGCATTACTTCCTAAGAGTTCTACTTACTCGTAAAACCAGGAGGGGATGCAGTTTTCCTTAATGCCGTAAACTGCGTTACTTAGCCCGGTGAAGGACTGCTCCGGTTGTTTTTCAATAGAAAAACACAATTCTAACGAATAGTGTTTGTCTATTTCAAACCAACCTGCGGTTATTGTTTTAGATAAGCGTGTTTTAAATAAACTTAACAAAAAAACTTATCTCTTAATCTAATGAATCGTAACAGAAAGGTAGGTATTCAATGAAAACGGCTCTAATATTGCTTAGTCGTCCGATGTTGTTACGCTCAGCACTATAACCACTTGTAATTCCACCTCTATCTCACTCACACCATTCCCATCACCACTGATCGGCTAGCCCGTGCCGTTCTCCCTAGCGCCACTGACCGGCGTGCTCGTGCCGTTGCTCCTGGTCTCCGACTCTGTCGAGTCGTTGGGCGCCACCTTGCCGCCGTTGACGCGGATGGGGCGGGCCGCGTTCGAGGCGGACAGCTCGCGCTCCCGCAGCTCCCGCTCCCGCTTCTTTTTCTTCTTCTCCGCCACGGCCATCATCCTGTGTGGAAAGGGAGCCGGACGCGCTCAGGGAGCTGGATAGACACTGGCCGAGCCTTCGTCAAGCGACATAGGCCCGCGCGTCCCCTGACGCAGCTCAGACGCCGCCGAGTTGCTGCACACCATAGGACCATGCGACACATGGGAGGAGGGGGGGGGGGTGAGCCGTGCCGCTAGTCAGGATGATTCTGTGGCGGAGAGTCGAGCTCGAAATTGAGTAGCTTAATCGTGAAGTTTGGCTGATTCCGGCACAGAACGATAATTGCGTATAGTCGGTAGTAAATAATGAAGCATGTGTGTTGTGTGAATTAAAAAAAAACAAGAAAGAAAAAATCAAATCAGCGAAGAGTGTGCCTAATGTTGACATCATGGCAGTTTCTTGTTCCATAAAAGTGCTGAGTCTTTAAATGCATTAATTTTCTATCTATGGAGTGCACAATTTTTCTGTTTAGCCAACGCATGCCACGTAACAATGGATATAAGAGATCGATAATATTTCCTTTCATTTGTGTCCCAGTAAACGCAGGCTTAGTGGATGCAACGGCAAACATTGAGGCTGAATGTTAGATATAACTCAATGGCTGACATTTCGTGATGAAGGGACAACAGTAGAACAGAATAGCAAAGCAGTCACGGTACAAAGACAAGCAGGTCGACAGTAGGTCACTACCTTATGTAGGCAAACGCTATATCAATAAGGTTTTGTCTTCGGTTTGACGTCATACACTACGTCATGTGACGTATGTACGGTGAAAAAATTAAGGGCACATAACTATATTCGGATACTTCTCCCCTTCTAATAGAAACATAACGCACAATGGTAGATGGATGTCGGAAAGCAGTGATGCACTATAAAGGAGGGACGCCCCACGCACATCACGGTCTGACGCTCTGATGATGCTCCGGCCCGTGATTGAGGGACTCACCGTATGACGATGACATACTCGGAGAGTGCGAAAAAGACGAACAGCACACAGCCCGCCATCCATATATCCACGGCCTTGGCGTAGCTCGCCTTGGGACTCTCGGCCCTGCAAAAAACGGCGATCGTGTCACTGCTTCAGCAGTCAGTCAAAGCAGCACGGCCGCCTCCATCGGTCGGACACAATCCACAGCGCGCCGCCCATCTCCGTTACTGCGGCCTGACGGCGGCGTCAGCGGATATCTGCCGAGGCTGCGGCGCGGCGGCCCGGCCGCCCATCAGTCGAACGGCGGCGGGGCCGAGCGCCGGCAGCCGGTCGGACGCACCATAACAGCCGCAGGCCGCTCAGCCCGATGGCCTGTCAGACCAACGACACGCACCGCGATGGAGAGGAGCCGCCAAAGGCGCCGCCGGCGGCGAAAAGCCCGCAGAAATGGCCCTGCCTGCTGATATCGGACGCAGAAATGGCCAAACAAAGGGTAAAGCTGAAAAAATATGGCCCGAGAATCGAACTGTAGTGCGACCTTCGCTCAAAACAAGGCTATGAATTAACCATATGGATCTTCAGGGTCAGGTTATCGGGTTATTTATTGCTGAGCTGCCGTCATAAACCTCTTTTTATAAAACCTACTCAGAATGTTTCAAATCTGTCAGATTTTCCTATCAGAGACAGCGCCAGCTCAGGACAGAATTCAAAGTCAAACAAGGAATTTCAGGCGACGGACAAACAAGTGGTATTGGGCCGAAGTCACCACAGAATGTACCTTATGCTGGTACACAAGCCAGGTAATCAGTTGCCATCCACCTCAGTTTGTGTCACTAACTACGGTCTACAACCTCAGACACAACACACTGGTAGCATACTATGCCGGACAGCAGCCGCCGGGTAGGATACTGTGCCGGCCAGCAGCCGCCTGGTAGGATACTGCGCCGCCGGCCGCGCGTGTACTGCGGCACAGTCTACTATCCAGACGGCCAACGACGGCCTACTGGATGGAGGTTGAGCAAGTGAGCAGGCGGCGCTACAGACAACAATTTCAAACGTAAGGCGCTGGTTATTCGCAGGGCTATCTCATGGACTTACACAATGGACGTCACATATCGACCGATATGAGTGCTGAGTATTTCTCAGTATCTTCGGACGTCGGACGACCCAGCTGCTCTGCTCGGCTGATCCCTGCTAAATGTGTTTACAGACGATCGGATCTGCCTTTAGAGCATCCTGCTGTTTTTCACAGCATTGCTTTCACGATAGTCCTGAGCTCCAGCTGTTTCTTGACCCTATTCAGGGAAGATGACGACACAATACAGCTGTTGCTGCGTTGTTTCGCCCGAGAGTCGCGGCTCTATGGCAGCCAAATGACCAGGCTAACGGCCATTTTCAGTTCGAGCTGCCATCCACGAGCAGTCACGGCTCTGCCCGGGGACTAACTGCCCTGACTACCGCCGGCGCCGCCCGTCCGGCCGAAGTCGTCCGAAAGGTCCGGCCGAGTCCCTCCCTGCCCCGTTGGGGTCCGCCCCACTGACCCTGACCAGATTACCCATCGGCCGTGACAGATTCAGAGCTCAGCGTCCGCAGTCGACAATCTATATGCAGCAGCATCGAGACGGCTGGAGTTCCTCCTACACAACCGCAACTGGCCACGAATCGGCCGACTCCGGCCTAATAACGGCGGCCGATTGCTCAAACTTCTGTGGCGAACCTCAACTGTCGACTCTGAATTGTGGCCCACTGAGCGGCCGGCCTCTGACGACTGACGTCTGGCCTTGGACGGGGACGGGGGCGGACCCGAGGCCGCTGGTGTGGGTGTCAGCAGACTGCGAGCTGCCGGCTGGCCACCGGGGCTGATCGGAGGGGCATTGTTGGCGCCCTGAGGGCCACAATGACGGCCGTGAAGCGCCGCTCGGCGGCCGGCCGATGGGCCGCGGCGGCGGCGCCTCAGATCGATTGCTGATCGGGAGGCCGAGTGGCGACACCCGGAGGGCATTACCGCCTCAGTGGGCGGCCCGGTTCATGAGAGAGGCCGCCGCCGGACGGCTCCATGGAGGACGGCCGCGCCCCACCGATAAGAGGAAATATGACGGCGGTGATACGGAGCTGGGGCAGTAGCCGTGACTGTGACGTCTGGAATCCAGAGAGAAGTCACTACAGTGAAGGATGGGGTATTGTTCATGACTCGAAACAATTTTATTCGATTAACTGAGCTTCATACTGTTTATATCAACGTCAAGTAAGAACATACGTAAGTACAGCAACATAACATACAGACAGGTCATCTAGTGATGGCTGGTCGCGTCCAGCTGCTTGCAAGCGCCAAAAAATACCCCCTTTCCGAGTAATGATATGAGCCTAGAGAACAATGGCACGGAATATATAGGGTGTAGGACTACAATAGCGTCCTTTGGATGCTTTCAGAGAATCGGATTGCTTGACCCGACAATATTGTTTGCTGTAATACTCAGCTGGTAGACGTCATTTGCAGTTGGGCCTGTTCCATGGCCTCTACGGCTGTAATATTCCAAATAACGCTAAGCAGATCGGCTTCTCTGATCCTCCACGATCACACAGAGATGTTAGGATGCATTGGAGCCGCGGCCAGCGATGCATGGTCGGACTGCTAACCGCACGTCGGCAGCCCGCGGAGAGCCCGCTGCTCAGCCGGCCGCTCGGCAGCCCGATGGGTGATTTATCGAACAATCCGCCAGTATGGCCTCTGGGTATTGGCTCATGTTTGATGAAATGGTATGGGGTCCTCCCATTGAGCCCGACGTACTTAACAATGCAATTGATGATCTAAAACTAATTTGCAATCTGACATTGTCTTTAGTGCTGAATGTGAGGCGAATTGTAACGCCATAAGGTTACATCAGAGCAATGCATTTATCTAAGTAAGCAGGTTACTGAGTCACACAGCCCCATGCGTTCGGCCGAAGTGTAACACTCAGTGGATTATGGCGTCCATGAGTCAGCACCAATTGACTTACCGGCCGGGGTGAGAGCAGTGAGCATCGGCCGACTCACTTCATGACCCAGTTAGAACGGTACAGGGCTCTAGCTCACAGGATTTCTCGGCTAGACGTTACGTGGCATTAACCCTCGCCCATGTAGGGGGGGGGGTTGGTGCAACCCCCCCCCCTGAGGCTTTTCGGAAATAGTGCAAAAACGGCGGCGCGCAGCGCCGCCAAATTTTGGGGACCTTATGGGGCAAACCTTGCGCATCTTTTGATCAAAAAAATTTGACCGGGTCATGTCAGGTCACGGAGTTATGACGTCACAAAGGGAACAGCCTCCGGCCGGATTTTCGCAAACTGAGTGCCAACGCCCGAGGTTTCCTGCCGGTGGTACGGACATCGGTTGATGGATCGTGATGAAACTTCCCATGCATGTTGGGGCAAGTATTGGCTATCATATGGTATAAGAAACTTGACCGGGTCAGGTCAGGTCACGGAGCTATGACGTCACAAGAGGAACAGCGTCCGGTACTATTTTTGAAAAGCGCCCGAACCACTATTTTGCTAATTCTTGTCACCTCAATGGGAATATGCAGCTATATTAGCTTCTATAGGGAGCAAATGGACCTCCCAAATCCAAAAATACAATCAGATTTCAAAAATTTAAATTTTGATTTTTCGAATTTCTGCCGCCGACTGTGACCTTGCCGACTTCCGGCGCTCCCAACGCGCCATTTTTAGAGCTAGGGAAACGAAATACATACCAAACGATAGAGAATTGATCAAGGAACACGATAGTGAAGGTTTCAAGTCGATATCTCCCACCGTTTTGCCGCAATCGCCGCGGAAAGTTGAAAAAGTCTATTTTTTCCGAAAATTTGACCTTTGACCGGTCAAAAGTAGGTCAAATGTTGACCTAGGACCAAAAAATATACCACCAATCGCGAGATCTCGGCGAGAGCAATCAGTTGGTCTTTTCCGCTAAGCTCTACGACGCTCCGTTTTCAAACGCCAAGGGGGGGGGGGGTCGCACCAACCCCCCCCCCCTGCATGGGCGAAGGTGGCAGATCGCCGTTTACGGGCGAGGGTTAATCCTCCGCCACACGACCCAGCCAGAATGGTAAACGGCACTAACTCACCTAATGGCCCCAGTAGGATGGTGAGCGACATTTGACTCACTCCACGGCCCAGTTCGGGTGTTGAGTGGCACTAACTCACCTGACGGCGTTGAACATTGCTGTGAGTGTGAGCAGGGTGGTGATGGTGAGCACCATCCTGCCGGGCACCACCTCGGGCGGCACCAGGAAGCTGAGCCAGCCGACCCACACGAACAGCGCCGACGGGATGAACGTCTGCAGCAGGTGGAAACTCAGCCGCCGTTGCAGGTTCACATGAAACTCCAGCGCCGGAAAGCTCACTGACGGGAGAAGGGCAGAGAGGGCGTCAGAGGGGAGAGACGGTAGAGAGAGGAGGGAGGAAGATGGCTCTGATACAGATCAGCTGCAATTTTACACCGTTAAGTAGTTACTGACTCGCTATTTTCGCAAAAGGATACTAGTATAAAAAAGACTAGATACTAGTATTTTGGGAAATGCGGTAGCTCTCAACGACTATAAGCGTTAAATCCTTCATTTCGTAACATGCTTATCTTACCTTGGTGTTGCATTTACATTTGTGTTGCATTTGTAGATAAACTAAAAATGAAGAATACTGAACGACGAGTTACTTATGAAATGCCATAATGAATAATGTATAGAGGATTCTTCATGGCTCTGAGTGGAAGATATAGATGATTCTTCATGGCTCCGAGTGGAAGATGAGGATATCTTTTCCAAGCGGGTTACTGAAAAACCGAGCGACGAAGGAACGAGGTTTTTCTGTAACACGCGAGGAAAAGATATCCGATCTTCCACGAGTGAGCCATGAGGAATCCTATATCTTTCTATGTTGAGGTTTAGGTATTCCTAATTAATAAAATATTATATTTAAATGCATTCGTCTATGTAAAAATAGATTCAGAGTAATTTGTTCTTATTTGATAAGTTTCATCCATAAACAATGTCGTTCGGTTATTGACCCATCATCACTTGAACTCTTGATTTTTCGCTATGAACCCTCGAGACCTTATCTTTGCATCTCAGAGGGATGCAGAGATAACAAATTCTTATCTTTGCATTTCAGAGGAGTGCGAGATAGAAATATCCCTGCACTGTAGACCCAATGGCAAATATGTACATAAACCTCAAATAGAAAGATAAGGATATCTTTTCCAAGCGGGTTACTGAAAAACCGAGCGACGAAGGAGCGAGGTTTTTCTGAAACACGCGAGGAAAAGATATCCGATCTTCCATGAGTGAGCCATGAGGAATCCTATACCTTTCTACGTTGAGGTTTATTCTTAATTAATTAAACATTATATTTAAATGTTCTTATCTATGGACAAATAGATTTAGAGTACTTTGTTTTAATATTTCACAAGCTTCATACACAAACAACCATTAAAAATGGTTCAATTATTGACCCATCATCACTTGAACTCTTGATTACGGAGCGAGCGAAGCGAGCGTAGTCTTTCCTTAGATTAACGGAAATTTCTGAGTATGAGCGGCCGGCCGGCCGGCCGGCCGGCCGTGGTCACGATTCTGCGACGCTTATATCTCAGCAACCACTTGACCGATTTACACGCGGTAATTTTTGTAGGGTGGCTTCATTCCTTCTACCAAGTATTGGACTATTCCCGATGCATGTGGGTGACCCCTTATGCACGTGCCACGTGCAAAACGAAGAGGTGTCACTTTTGTAATTGTTGCAATATCTCGGTAACTACTTGGCCGATTGCGCTGAAAGTTGGCATGTAGGTAGGCACCGACTAGGCACTGCATATCCATGTGCCAGAGTTGGGGTGCTGCTGCACGTGCGCACGTGCAGGGGTCGATTCCAGATCTCGAGAACGGCTGGACCGATTGTGCTGAAATTTGGTACATTGTTAGGGACCGGTTAGTAGGGTGCCGTGCAAAAGTTAGTTGGGACCCATTTTGCACGTGCGCACGTGCAGGGTGCCGCTTCCAGATCTCGAGAACGACTGGGCCGATTGTGCTCAAATTTGGCACATCGCTAGAGACCGGTTAGTAGGGTGCCGTGCACAAGTCAGCTGGAGGTACCCCGTCGAAATTTCGCACGTGCAAGGCCCACCCTCTCGCTCGCTCCGTTAGTCGCCCCAAAAGGCGTTATACTGGTTTTTAGCTATGAACCCTCGAGACATTATCTTTGCATCTCAGAAGTGCGAGATAGAAATATCCCTGCACTGTAGACCCAATGGCAAATAAACTTCAAATAGAAAGATAAGTGTATCTTTTCGATATTCCTAGAAATTCATCGTTAAATTTGATTAAGTTAGAAAATTACATCACCAATAGTCTTACAACCTTAGAGCGCGATCTTCCTCTATCTACACCAAGTAAAGACAAGAATTCCCTTTCATAATTGTCGATCACTTAACTTTCGGCCAGCAATAACCTTGCGATCCAATCAAAGCTCTGCAAGATTGAAATGCTTTGGATTGTCTGAACTTCCCTGCAAATACATCGAACTTAGCGAATTGTTATAGGTCGTGCGTCTCGCGCCCGCACAGCTCGCTGTCGCCGGATGGCAGGCCCGGAAATTTGTCGTCCCCGCAACACGCAGTCCCATGTTTACAGAGCGCCCAGTATTGGCTGGTGGACAGATATATGGCCGGCAATTCGTCCCTCCACAGCGGACACTGGGGCCAACGGCTTCTATTGCCTCTAATACAAGTACTGATGCGGGACTATAGAGAAGTTTCCAGCTCGCGCACTGCCGGTGAAGTAGATTTACTTTGAAGTATCACGGTATCGAGCTCACAGCAAATGGATAATCGCACACATGCACAACCACAATGCGGTGGTAGCTGTCGGTAACTAACCATTAGTGCCGCAGTACTGGGCTCACGGAGCAGGCGATTTCACTCACTGGTGTGGTGGCTGTAGTTTTGTGTGGCCAGCACCTCCACCCGGATATCGTAGTGGTCGTGTGTAAGGTCGGGGCTGACCTCGATCCCTGGCGGTTCCCACTCGTACACCACTTCCTCCGTACGATACGAGTCTGAAACCCGGAGAGACACACATACAGCACACTACTTTCCCAGTACGGTATAAATATGAACACACTCAGATTCGTGTATAGTTTAGTGCAGATAAGTCGGATCAGCCCAGTAACCGACCGATGCTGAGAAGAGAAGCTTTCAGCAGAAAAGGTGCGGTCGTGCAGCCTGGAGAGTGTAAATGGGAGAGAAGCGGCATGCGTGGGTGTTAGGCTTCACTCGAACACATAAGACAGAAGCTTTCGCCGCCGTTTGCGCAGAGATGAACACGGGCACGGGGCTGTGCTGCCGTGTAGACGGAGACAGGGTAGGGGATGTTGGATCACTGGGGACAACCAGAGGTGGCAATGAAATCAGAAATGGGCCCTTAGCTGCCCGATTCGGTCGGCTCTCCGCAAGCAGCGAATAATAAGCTGAAGGAGCTCACTCTTATCTGCATTACATTGCAAAGTAGCAATGTAAGTTATTACATATATGTACAAAGTAAATCCGAGATCGTTTTAGCAGAGCTCTAATCAAATTCATTCCACAAACCCTGCCCTGCCTAAGTCCTTCGAAGTGGGTACGCATGCAGAGGCATCAGGCAGCTACTCCTTTTGTCATTTAACCTGACCTTAGACTTTACATTTAATATCAAACAGCAGTTTAATGAGCAAGATCCGGCTACATCCTCTGGAGTCGGCAATGAAAACACGGACCATTGCAGGCCCTTCCCAGCAGCAGCTCCCTCAGCAGCCGCGGCGGCACAACAGGCCATCCGTCGCCAAGTGCGGCTCAACTAGTGTCATATGTTGCTGGGTGTTTCTGAGCGCCGCCCCGAGAGCCACTAAATCTGGGCAATCTCTGACGCTTACGTCAAAGGTCAGGACTGGCGTGTCACATCAGTGGCTTCTACAGGCTCTTCGGGATTTCTTTGGGGAGAGGAGGGGGAGGTCTATGATCAGCTATGATCGACACTGTAAATTATCTCCTGTCTAGTATGGATCGCGGGAAAGTATCTACGCTGTTAGCGGTTGACACGTCTCGTGCCTTCGACAGCATAGAGCACGAACGCTTGTTAGATAAGTTGGGCTGGTATGGCGTGGACGGGCATTGGTTCGAGGACTGGCGTTGAAAAATAGGTCTCAGAGCATCCAGGGGAGCACGGCAGGGGCACTGCCAGTGACGCATGGGGTGATTCAGGGGTCACAGTTAGGGCCAAAGTTGTTTTTAATATTCACTAACGATCTTTCAGGGCACTTACCATCTGGCAAGCAGGTGGCTTACGCTGACGACGTACAATTCCTAGACTCCGACTCGGTCGAGAACTTGGCATGTCTAAAGGAACGTGTCGAAAAAACTCTGGATGCGGCTCTTCTGTGGTTCACACAGAACCGACTGAAAATTAACCCATAGCAAAACTGAGCTGTTGTTTGTCAAACCTAAGCAAAAAAGATGTGACTCCATAACAGTGCAATTCGGTGACGCAAATGTCAGTCCATCTTCCCATGCAAAAATCCTTGGTGTTTACGTTGATTCGGGGTTTTCATGGGAAAAGCAAGTCTCTCAGGTTACCCTCCGCTGTTTCCATGTCCTGGTCGGTTTATCTAAACTGAAACACAGAATACCTTTCGAAACCAAGAAACTACTGATTCAGGCACTTGTGTCCCCTCATGTGCATTATTGTTTAACTGTTTGGGGTGGTTGTTCTGCCACGCTTCGTCACCGATTGCAAAAAGCCTTAAATTTTGGAGCCCGTATCGTCACTGATCTGTCCCGGCGTGAGCATGTTACTCCTGCCCTGGAGATGTTGGGGTGGGAGAGGTTTGATGGCATGTTGGAGGGACGTGACCTGGCCATGCTGCGTAAGCTAACGTCACCCGATGCACCGCCGGCGCTGGCCGATCTCGTTCAGAGCCGGTCCGATGTATCGGACAGGTCCACCCGTGGGACGTGTTGGGGCCAACTAGAGCTCCCGAGAGTGAAGACTGAACGTGCCAAACGGGCGTTTCCATTTAGAGCCGTGAGTGCATGGAACGCGCGCAAGAGTCATTCATAACTGTCTATGTGTGTCTCGATAGGATAGATGGGAACATTTTATCATGCTGTGTTTAATACTTTTAGTAGTTTTAAGTACCCTGGCTTTTAAACGTGTTTCTGACGTGAGAACAGAAAAGCCATGTTTTATGGAGTTCTCAATAAAACTGACTATGAATATGACTATGACTATGGTCTAGCAAACTGTTGATTTTTTTCAGCCTTTTTATAGAAGCAGGTTTTGATTGAAATATAATTTCAGTTCGACTTTTTTAAGTGAATGTAATATATCTATTCAATCGAATAGGTATGGCTATGCTCAAAAGCACTGCATTTTATGTAAACATTACCTGGTCAATACAAATTGCATTAAGCATAAAAGTAAGCGATTGCTGAGAAGCTATTGCTATCCATAAATTTGCTTAGCATCAACAGCGATCGGAAGACAGCCACCTGACCCAGGATCAGGTGGTTTAACCTCGTTTTCCTGTTGGTGGCCCAAACAGCGGTAGACCCGGATGCTCAGCTTTTACGGCCCATGGCCCATTGGCCCATTGTGCTTTCAATCGAGGAGCCATAGAATCACCCATAGCCAAAGCGTTATAGCCATGTGCTGGAAAGCTCTATAAGGAATGGCTGAATGCATTTGGACGCCCAATTGGCCTGTGTTACTAAGTCCAGATGGAGATCCGTTCGCCTGCATTGCCAATTCATCTAACGAATAATCAGCTGGTTCTGTAACATTAACCCCAGTCAGGGGTGCTAGAGTCGGCTCTTAAACCCATCGGTGCATATACTTGTCGAATAAATGGCACTCGGTACGCCTGAAACACTGGCAAATGAATGGAACTGCGAGAAGCAAAGATTTTATAGCATCTGCATACATATGCACGACTTGTTAGCTTCCTAGATACGCGAAACGGTTATGGTACCATCGTTGAAGAAAAAAAGAAACTTTTGGACATTGAATAAGACTAAAGGAAACTAACGATCATAAGTGCACCTCTACTATTCCAATGGATGTGCCTCTGTGTCTCACTTAAAAGATAAAGTAGATGTTAAAGTGTTCCGTTTTATCTCATTCGGATAATTTATTAGATTTTAGTAGCTATTAGTTAGTTTATTTAGGCCAGCTAGTCGAAAAGAGGTGCGAGATCCGCTTTAGGTCTGATGTAGACACACATCACTGTTGGAAATCGCATGGTTTCAAAGTGTTCAATTAAAACTATGCGCATTTAGAACTTCATCGGCGTCAGCTTATGACCTCATTTACCTAACTTACAGCGAAGTACGGCCATAGCACTGCCCGGGGAACAGTTCGTCATCCAGCCCCTGAAATACTGCCAAGCCAAAAATGGATTTTCTGCAAATATTTAGATGATCCATGCATTCAGACCATTGCGTGATAAACCAGTAAATCACCTAATTCTGCGTCTTGCATGACACGCATGCTCATGGCAAGTGCGGTAATGCTCAATAGTGACAATATTTCGACAACCACAACTTGGATCGCCCGATACTCACAGTCTTCCAAGTGGAACACGCAGTGCTGCGAGTCGAACGGGTAGTCGCGGAAACTCATCTTGCACACAATGGTAACCGTCAGCCTGCAACACAAACGGCGTCAAAGGCGAGCTAGAACAGGTCACGACACATGACGGTCACATTTAGCCGAGAGCCGGGTATTTAAGTCCTCATCAGGGGCACAGAATGCTCAACAAATAATATCTTTACCGGTAGGGCATGAAAAGTGAAAGGTTTGTCGAGATATATGGGAATTAAATGGATGTTTTAGCTTACTCAATGTGTCTTGCATCATACATAGGTGTATAACAAAGCATAAACAATAACATACAGCATAAACTGTGTTGCATTTCAGCATTCACAATCGCATACACGCGCACGCGCACGCACACATAGACGCACATGCACCCATACGAACGGGGGCGGTCGGGGTCGGCACTCACAGCACTGAGTAGCGAATGAAGCCGTCCGACTGCATCCGTAAACTGCTGGCCGGCGATATTAGCTTGTATATTCGCAGGCCCTTCATGTGATCTGACAAAAGAGAATACCTCAGCATCGACAGCTACTGCAGCCGTTATGCGTGTAAAAGCGACCACACCTCAAGTTCTTTGTTCAGTTAAGTTCAGTCAAGTTTTTTGGGATTTCTTAATAAATGGCGGTAGATCATCTGCTTATCCGAGGGGCGGTATGGCTGCCTGGACGTTTCCTTTTCTTACGCACTCTAATTACCATTTCTAGGGTAGAGCAGCCTACACAACATTCCAATGCCAATTTGGACTCACTAGTGCACATGATAGCATATAATTTCAAAATAAAAAAAAGACGCCAGCGCTTTCAAATGCAGCTTGAAACGAGTTGGAAATATTTATACACCAAGACAGATGATATGTTGTCATTAATGATATGTTGTCATTATTGCAAAAGAGAAGAAACCACACATTTATGTCATACCTACGAAGGTGATTGGTTTCCACATTTGGTCAAATATGGCGGGATGGAGGTTGAACCACTGTCCTGGTTTGAGTGTCTCCGGCGGAATCAGACGGCTGTCAGTCCAGTAGAACCTCAGGAACATCTCCGTGGCCAGCTCCTAAAAACAACAGCTGCCAGTCAGTAAACACGGTCGCAATTATCGTGACGCTGTACGTACGGTAAGAATAGCAGTCTAACTCCTTCAGTGGTGCGCTGGTGCGTACACACACACACAAGCACCCCCTCCCCCCCCCCCCCCCACACACACACATCCGTAAGGATGAGTGCAAGAATTACTACTCTCTTTGTGCGTGAGTGATAGGAGCCTGACTTTTAACTATCAACAACATGATTAGGCGAAACAGCATTACACATCAACGGCTTCGGTAAAAGACATTATTTATTTGTTGGAAACTGTTACAGCTTACGATTCTTCAAGCCAGCAGCAATTTCTCACTCTGTGAGTTAGACTGTACCGCACAACACACTGAGTGTATGTGAGATAGACTGTGAGTACTGTACCGCACAACATACTGAGTGTCTGTGAGATAGACTGTACCGCACAACACACTGCCTTTGACGTAGACTGTACCGCACAACATACTGAGTGTCTGTGAGATAGACTGTGCCGCAGAACACACTGCCTGTGAGTTAGGCTGTACCGCAGAACACACTGCCTGTAAGTTAGACTGTACTGCACAGCCAAGAAGTGCGAGCGATGCTGTACTGCAATACATACATACTGGGGTTATTGTGACAACTCAGAAGATTTAGTCGCTCACTGGACAGCGATATTATCAAAATAGTTTAGTTGCAGTCTAATAAGCCTTAAGTAACAACAGACGTTCATGTTATCTACGAAATCGACAATTGATGTCACTTTACCACGCCCAATGACACTGTTCAGGCACATTAGCAATGCATTTAATTTTCACTAATCATTTTAAACATTCTTTCGCAAGATGGTTACGGGTTATTTACATGCCAATAGGAATTTGGGGGTTTGTATGGGGCTTGTGTGTTCCTAAATGTCTTGTGTACTAAGGTAGTATTGTTAGTGGTAAATACTGGACGATAAATTTCAAAACAGGTGTTTTATTTTTACATGCAGTATGATAAGGTCGAATTTTTTATCCAAGTATTAACTCGTGCATAACATAAGATCCACACTCAAACACTTCTGCTGACAAAGTGCGCAAGCAATGTGCAATGTGCGTTATGTAGCCGTCCTTACCGCTGAGGATGACTGCATGTAACAAGGCAAACAAATACATGTTCACTGCTGCATGCAACTGTAAACTGTAGACAGCAAAAAGGTCAAGAATCTGAGTCAAGATTATAACTGAATACCAAAAATATATTTCATTTACAGATAAAAATTCTAAGCAGACACGGTAAGTAAAATTGAGGAAACTAGTAAACATTCTACTGATAATGCTCTTTCGTCCACTTGATGAAATTATAAGTTCAAGTCCAATATACACGAGACACATATGTTCTTTGCATTGTGACAGCACATCCGTAAATGAAACATTTGTTTGGGAAAGCGGCTCCATGTAAAATGATTACCTTCTTCAATAGCGGTATTGTGTACGTTCCTACCAATGTGATTAAGTGATTCGCCGGACCTATTGGTTTTCTACATACGCGATGGCCGAGGTGGGGGGGGGGGGGGGGGTACGACCCCCCGGCCGTTTCGCCCCTGGTGGAGCTAGGAAGTCGCGGAAAAACGAGCATGTGCGCCGTTACGAAACGCAGAGTTTGATACCCGATTTTAAGCTCCTAGGTCAACCGGTGACCTCTGAGGTCAGGTCAAGTGCCCCAAAGTACGGTTCCGTTTTTGGTGAATAACTTCGCAAAAATGGCCGTAGAGCCGCGATTTTGGCAGCATCGTGTTTGCCTCGCTCAGGCGCGTCGAATGCTATACTTTTTGTTTGGATGAGGTCAACTTAGGGTGTTCAACTCAGGTCACGGTCAGGTCAGCGCCCCCAGGTCACAAACTTGGTCGAAGGAGGTCATGTCGCATATCATTCGATTCGGCAGGTCTTCCTGAGTCCATTGGTGGCTCGCTGGCTCAATTTTATCGGGAGTTATTAACGAAAACTAATATGACGCTAATGACGTCATAAATGACGTCACGCAAGGTCAACATTGCAAAAGTGACGCATTCAACCTTGCAAGGAGTGCATGAAATCACGATTCTGTGTGCTTGAGATAGTTGGGGATCGTTCCCGGCGCCAGAATAGCAGTTTTCCTTTTCCCCATTGACTCAGGTAATGGTGAGGTCACGAAAATGACCTGACCTCATATGACCTTTAGGAAAAATCCGAGATATACAAGTTGTGAGACTCCTAATGGATACTATGTCCTGCAAGTTTCATTTCCCTGTGAAAGCTCCGCGGGCAGTGAGGGCGTCACGAAATTGCGACATCTGAAGACCGTGCAGAGGTTCACCTATAACGTCATAGGTCAGTGACCTGACCTGACTCGAAAATGCGGTTGGTGTCAAACGATTTGGCCTGAATCAAAGGTCAAGTATGCTAAGTGTCAGCTCTGTATCGCCGGCGTGTTTGGAGTTATCGCGGAAAAAAAAAACAATCCTATGGGGGCGGCACCCCCCTCGGCCGGCGAGGGTTCAGATACCGATTTAAGTTTATGTCTGTGCAGGGCAGGTACCATATAATGTGAAATTTTCCAATTGCTCTATGTCAGGAGAGGTTACCTAATTTTGCTTTATAATGAAGCGCCACTGCTATGCTATCCGTTTCTGTCCATTTTGGAACAAAAACGCCTCATTCTTCAAAGGCCGATCAGTGGTGCTCTATGGGAAATAACAGCGCTGCGTAAGCATAATGCGGCTTTGATCTGGTAACTGTCACAACTGCAGTTCAGTCTTTGATCATTTTAGGCGACAGAACTTCAAAATATGTGAAGCTGTACGAATAGAGTATACCTAGACTGCAGTAGGGCCCAGATAACGGTATCAGCCCGTGCACCAATCAGGTGCTTGATAAACCTCTACCGAGCACAACATTGAGCACCGACATCACATCGATAAGAGAGTGCGTTAATGAATAGAATAGTTTACACACCATAAATGATGCAGTCTAGCTACTTTCCATCAGAATTTGCTGAAAATCTTAACTACACATTTGAAATGTCTCACCATATGTTCCTCATTGATGTCTTGAATATCCCTGACTTTCAGGCTGAGGGAAACCTTGAGTGGCTGCCCTAGAACAGAGAGAATATCTTATCAGCACCTGCAGCAGTGGTATGCATGTTCTGCGGCAATGTATGCTGACGGTGGATGGCGGCATCTCGGCAGACCCTCCGCCCATGCAGATCAGTCGTTGTAGGCTGTTCTATGGCAACGCGTTGTTGAATTAAACAGAACACCCACGATAGAGACAGGATAATTACCAATAACCACATACCAATATGAAATATCTATAGTCACATGCCAATTGCGTTAATATCAAAATTTACTGGCTAGCTGTGTGCATTAAAATTTAAAAAATAATGATTTGAATATACTAGAGAAGAGAAATGAGGAACTGCAGTCAAACTAACTCCAGATAGTTGCATCTGTTATCTTCCGAGAGCTGTCAGTTGTGACTGAGTCTTGAGCTGTGAGCTTCTTCTGAGAGTGTTTTAAAAATTGTAGGGCAGTTTCACCTATTATCCGATGAAGTTGCACACTTTGAATAAATTTGTGCATTTTATTTAAACTTAGCTTAGTCAAACATTTTCATCAAGAAAGGTAATTACCATCGACAGCGAGTGTGACGTCTCAAACGGTGCCTTCGGATTCTGACATTCGCTTTTCCTGGAAACCCTCCCTTCTTTTACCTTCGCTATCTCACCTCCTTTCTTGATGGAAAAGTTTATGCTGAAAGTAGTGCATTTAATTCTCGTTTATTCAAATCCCAGAATGAACAGCACCGATTTAATTTCGCTCAAGCTACAATAAAACGCATTCCGGCGCGTTTCATTTCGCTGGTGTGTCGAGGGCGGTCGCTACCCACGACTGTCGACCCGGGCACCGGTCTAAATTTGTCATGTCTCGACTGGGCTGCGCCTGTGGCTGCGGTCCTTGGGTCCGGCGAGGTCGGCGGGGTCTCTGTCTGGTGTGGGGGCCGGTGGGGTCGGAGGGAGAGCGCGAACTGAGCGGCCCAGAGAGGCGGGGGTACTCAGCGGTCACCGCTCCGCCCGCTGACACAACGCCGGCAGTTATCGGTCCGGGTTTTATTTGCTGAGCGCCGGGAGTGGCCACGTGCCCGTCACGGAGCGCTGGACCGTGCCTCTCGGACCGCACTCGCAGAGACTCCACAGCGCACTGCTGCAGGGCGGAGCAGACGCAGCGCTGAGTAATGACAAGCCATTCAGCGGGCTGTGGAGTAGTGGAACTTATTACTATCTTATCGTGCATGCTAGATTTCGCAAGCGTTTTGTATTTGAGCTTTAAATGGTGCCAACTGGATGACCTCCAGTCTTTTCAACAGTTTTTAAAAGTATACCACCTTGAAGCCGCAGTTTGTTTAGTAATTCATATTCTTAGCGGAATTAAGTCATCAAAAGATCTGAAACTTCGTAACAACAGCTGAAAGTCTCTGCCGCGGCACTTGCTGCAAAGGCCCTGGTTTCTCAGCTGGTCAGTAATACATGACCTTTCAAGATTTAAGCCCTTCCATCGTCTCGCAAAACTAATTACACCCTGGCTGTGAGTCAATGACTCCTGAGAACGGTTGAGCCGCCAAGTGGTGCCCTTCATCACACAGGGAGTTTCAGGGATGGCCGTCAAATTATCTGACTGATGAAGGAGCGGCAGACCGAGTACGGTGACGGAAGTGAGCCGACATCGCTGACTGGCGAAACACGGGAAACAGCGGATAGTGAGCATTAAACAGACTTCAAGTAACTAAAAACGCGTTTAACTTTATTCGTCGCCAATAATAAAATAAATCATTTTGAGAACACATAGTGAAATTCATAGGATGATCTGATTATAATATTGAAGACGTTTCCAATTCAGGCGGACATTGGATGCATATTTGCAGTAACAGTCACCCATATTTCTGGCCACTTGGACCGTCGAGTTCGTAGTCTGACATATGATGGTAGTAAATACGCTAACGCACACACATCCATTTGAAAACAGAACAGATATTCCAGTGTCGCAAAGACAAATTTAGGAATGATGCTGGTGGAGCCAAACCAACCGACATGTTGAATGCTTTTGAAACCAGATAAAGCATCACATTTATTTCGTAGCCAGTGCTCGCCACGATAAGGCGAGCTTAATTGTCTCAAAGATTAATAGAACGCTGGATAGATTGTAGCCAGTCTAATGGATCTTGGACACTCATCAAGAAGGACGGCTCCGCTACACCTACATTTATATTTCCACATAAGCCGAGGAACTGAGGAATGAGCAGAAGCTAAGGGAATAAAAGCATGAAATGGATGGATGCAAGCTTTTCGTATAAAACATTCAAAACTAGCACCGTATCAATCAGCACCGTACACCATGGTTTTGGTTTGCTGTGCTGGGTGTCCGTGTCCGTGTGTCCGTGTCCATGTGTCCGTGTCCGTGTGTCCGTGTCCGTGTGTCCGTGTCCGTGTGTCCGTGTCCGTGTGTCCGTGTCCGTGTGCCCGTGTCCGTGTGTCCGTGTCCGTGTGTCCGTGTCCGTGTGTCCGTGTCCTTGTGTCCGTGTCCGCGGCACTGACCGGGTACCGGTGACCGCGGCTTCTCGAGCATGTCGTAGTCGGGCGGCAGCACGGAGCGTGCCGTGGTGTTTGAGGTGAGCCAGCTGGTGGAGCGCGCCGGCCGGCCGGCCCGCTCCTCCTGCTGCTCCTCCTCCTCCTGCCGGTCCTCCCAGTCCTCGGCGAGCAGTGTCCAGTCGGTGCCGGGGCCGGGCCGGCGGCGGGAGGACCACGGCCGGCCCGGCGCCCGCTGCTGCTGCCGCTGCTGCTGCTGCTGCTGCCGCACCGAGTCGAACAGACTGTGGCAGAGAAAGGGGGGGGGGGGGGAAGTCAGACTTTGTGTCATACAGTTAACATCTCCGACAAACACACAGCACATGAGTTATGAGACGGTAGACTTTGAGGTCGACCGATAGACGATCATACGATAGACATTCGCTCCGAAGAACTTTGTGACATTAGTAAATGTCATGTTGTCACATCACCTTATTGATGCCACCACGACTGGCAGCCTATCGTCACGTCATGTTCAAGTGCCAGACCGCCACGCCGGCCGACGTCCCGATACCCCGAGGACCGATGTGGCCAGTCGGCTGACTATAACCGAATGACCTGAACTTGAAAAGTAGTGTGGTCGACCTGCCTTATTGACTATCTATTTTGTACCATCCGTCTCGGACGGAATGCTTCGGTCCCGGCCAGGGGCGCGGGAACTACGTTCAGACTGGGGGGCACACCATAATAGAGATCAACCTAGGGTACCCCTAAATCTAGTTTTCTCACCGGTTTTAGGCCACTTATTTTTCATCCCTTGGCTTTTTCAACAAAAAAAGAAAACATTTGCAAAAAAAGTGTGGTATTCCGTCTCAAAGCTGTGGGGGCATCGCCCCCACGGCCCCAGAGCTGGGGGGGGGCAAGCTGCCCCCACTGCCCCCCCCCCCCCGGCTCCCGCGCCTATGGTCCCGACCTGCCATGTTATACTTCCTGCTATGGTGCAATTTTCACAACACTGTCAAGAGACGGTCATATATCAGGGTAGCGAGCAACGAACGACGGATAGTTGTGTCTCCGTCGCCAATATCGCCCATAATGGGATGCGGCAATATAAGAATGAGAATCGAATTCCAATACTCAGCGGACAAGCCCGCGTCTCGCTTTTCTGTGGCCAGCACCTAATGCTTCAATTATGCAATGAAAACGAGAAATATTTGTCACAAGACTAAGTGAACGAAAAGGAAAGAATTACTTCCCCATCATTTAGGTCCAGCATAATGGCAATATTACGTAATAATGACAGGACTTGATGGCACGCAGAACACCTACGACCTGCATACTATCTATCAGAGAATGACCATGTGGGAAGTGAAGAAATTAGGCGTGTGCAAAGTTGTGGAAATTTATATTAATACTTCACTGCTAATGTGGTACGCTTCGTACGGAAATGGACAGGCTGATATTAGACGTCAGTCACCCCGATGCGGACATTTCTTAGTAAATTAGATAAAGTAATAGCATTGCTGATGCGTTCATCGTTATTTTACCCAGTAACCAACGATTTGTTTTTGATATGACATCCGAAAAACGTACCAAGCAGTTCTGGATCTGCAAGGTGAAACACTTCATTACGTGAAAGTAAGCGACGAATGGACGGAGGATGGATCGTTGCCATGAATGTGCGGGCGTAAAGACTTCTTTTTCGCCGGTGAATGGTGCGTCAAGCCGTATTTGACGTCATCAAACATAGCAGACGCAGCTCCATACAGGTGGCGACTGAATCGATGGAGGACGGCATGCCAATGGCGCTGAGGAAGACGACAGCAGTCTTTTGACCACACTACAGCCGACCGAAGGGCCGGGGGCGACAGTGAACAGGAAGAGACAATGCTAAAGTGTGAAACATAGTTAACACAGTTTGGCATCCGTTTTTAGTGAAATTTCTATTTAATGTTTTGTCTTATATAAACTGGTGGCAGACTCAAGCTTTTTACAAATCCCGCCCTTGTACAACACCCTTGCGCAACAAGCATAGACCACTGCAAAATACAAGAATATACATGCACAATGTACATTGTTGAATGTACATAGGAGGCAATGCGCAATGTTGTCAAAATCTACCTTCTACATCATTTCTACAAATCTACATCATACATGCATTCAAAGCAAAATATGGATTTACGTTGCGTATCTACTCCCCAGTTCACTGGGCGGTCTTTGCTCTTACATGAGCGGCCCCACCAGTCGGCAGACCCGTCACCTGACCGGATGCATCACCCGTACTTCCCCAGACTCTCCCAGCACCCCCACGGCACGGACCGGCCGTGCAGAGCGCGGCCAGGCCGGGCAGATGACCGCGCGCGCTGGCCGCGCCGGTCGGCCGTGCTCATATTGAGTTGCCTCTGGCGGCAGTGGTCCGACCAGAACCAGTACAGCGGATAAGTCCGGGAAGCCGCCGGCATCTTCCCTTCCCTCCCCCACCCCCCCTCTCCCCGGCCTACGGACGAGTTATGCGGCGAAGGGTAAGTACTACATGGGAGTCCAGGTACTGAGAGTGGTACTCGCTGTTACGAAGCGGTGCGGAATTATTTATATTGAGCTGTAGGTCAGTACGATGTGGTATGTATGTATGCATGAATGTATATGTATGTCGCAGGCATCAGGTGAAATCCGGTATTTCTTGAAATGCCCAGGCTTTACGTGGAAAGCCTAGGCTTTTCATGAAATGCCGGATTTCATCCCATGTTTGGGTTGCATTATTTGGCGCTTGCTCAGCACCAAACCTAAACAACAACACCTAACCCGACCTTACCTAATGTAACCTAACCTTATCTAACCAATTTACTTTTCACATAACACGTAAGGGGCTAGGTCTAATGGTTTGATATGCTATGTAGGTGCAAGCAGGTTCAAGGTTAGGCATTTCATGAAATGCCGGATTTCAGCCGATGCCTACGACATATATATTACCATCATGGACAATCCACACGGAGCGTGGCGTGGTACGGTATGGTATGGTACAGTACGGTACGGCACAGTACGGTATGGTACGGTACCTACGGTATACGGTGCGGTGCAATGTGGAAAGCCCGTGCTGGCATGGTGAAATAAACGCTGATCACCAATATCCTGCCCCAATCCGTGGCGCCAAAGTGTAGGCCGTATCTATCAGAATGTGGTAGGTTGTGATAATGTGAGGGGTCAACGTTCGCTCATCGTTAGACGATAACGGAAGCGCACTCAGAGGGTTGCTGCAACTCCAGACCGCTCGGCCGATCCGGGCGAGTAGTGTTGGAGAGAAAAATGTGCACGCCGTCACAGAAGGCCTATATTCGGCGACTGAAATAGATGAGGGCTCGCCACTGAAAGACCGCGTGTCGTTTCCCAAAGGACTGGCGCCGACAGCAAATGCGAGTGCTGAGGACGTATCGATTTCCTATTTGGGTGGCGCTGTGATTGATAGAGTACATCTGTCTCAAGACGAGACGCCGAGTGTCATCCATATATGGAAAGGGTGGGCGGAGAGAATTAATGTGCAATATGCCGCATTTTACACGAAGTAGGATGATAAGCAGAACGGGATAAAAATAGGCAGGACTTTTCACTTCAGTCAGGTGGTTTTCTATTCGCCCTACAAATTTGTGCCCGATCCGTCAGACTGATCCCCGATTGTGCGCGGCTTTCCGCACGGCTCGGCCCGATTTCTTCGGTAATCTGGTGGCTCTGTTTACCATCAGGAGCGCCTGGCGCCCCAATACTGACCAGCTGCGCCCGACCGGGCTGCCGTCAGCTGGGCCGGGGCAGAGGGGGCGCCGGTCACCGCTCCGGGGGGGGGGGGGAGGGGGGCAGTCAGACGTCCCCTTGACACCGCCGCTCAATGTCCACACCCCGTGAAATGGTATAATTTCAACAGCCTAATGTAACATATGTAATTATCACTATCACGATTACGTGACGGATTTCATGCGTGGAAGTAGTTTGAAAGGTGCTTCGAACCGAGAGTCGCGAGTCAGTTATTTTGGGTAGGTATCTCAATACCTACCTTCTTTTCATTAATAATAGACGGATCTAGACTCTGTAAACGCATTAAAATGGTGTTGGACTCACCTTCAACATCCCTTTCTGTGCATATCTTGAGCATACTTTTTAACGCCTTTCTGACGATTGCTTTATTTCAATGCCTTTGATAAATATATGTAGGTATGTACACCCACACACCCAAATGTATACCCAAAATTTGCATATAATGTGCCCTTAAATGCATTGTCTTCAAAACAAAATCACTTCACATGGAACCAATGGGTAGGTAGGTATAACATTTTGTGGCAATTGGTACATAAAGAACGCATTTAACATTCGGGTACAGTCCTTGCATCTGAATTATTCCAGAGCCGAGCAGAGCCGCAAGCCCCCATTCCACTATTTATGCCGCGAATCTCACGCCTGGGCTCCTCTGACGATAACGCGCTGCATATTGGCCGCGCCGTGGCCGATATTGAAGGCCATTGTGTCGCGGGGCGCCGCCGGCGGGCACGTCAGCGCGGATTCACCCCAGAGGCGGTGGCTACTGGCTGGCACCGCGACGCATAACGTGCAGTAGGTAGTTATCCCATGTTGCATAGCTTGAGATCCCTATCGGCACGACGAACAGCCCCGAATAAGAACTACCGCATGGAAAGATGTGAAGAAGCGTGTAAAGAACTTCTGAGTTGACTTGCTAAGCAGTCCGCTGAAAGGATTGAAACCCTTAGATCAGGCTGTTATTCTATGTTTTGATATCATCAGTTGAAACTTGTGCATACCCATTAGCACATACCCCTAGATTTATTGTTTCTCATCACAGCTTGGATGCACTATAATAGCCAAATCATTCTGAACGATTTCCGCTAGTAAAGTGGAATTATTGTGAGATGTGTGTGATTAACGCACATCATCTGTAGGAGAAATTGCTGGTACCTAAATGGGGCGATTAATAACTTTTGTATAAGATATATCAGAGTGCTAGAAGCGGAGAATAGTTGCACCGTTATAATGGTAAATGAGCTGCTCGATTAGTGGCAGATATCGCCTCCATGTGACCATGATATATCGTGAATAATTTCGCACTGTGTGTGCGTCTATAGCAATGAACAAAAGCGCAAGATTAATTTTCATTCAATGATTGGAATGATATTATCATGTGACTTTACCGTTGAACAGCGTCACGTCACCTTTGCATCAAAGTGATAATTCATGCTCGGAAGGAAGTATAATTATAGATCCGGTTCGTCCGATGAAACAAATTTCTGGGCTTTCGACTTTTCGA